GGATCTTTAACTTGTGTCATGTGAGCTTGGTCTGTATCAATGAAGGGATTCAGTGATTAACTTTTAAGTATTTTGTAGCCATGGTGATTTCTTTTGAAATACAATACGAAAAATACTTCCTAGCGATTAATGGTGTTTTGTTATCACTTGGGTGAGTTTTATGAGCAAACAGAATGAACAATTATGCATTACTTTTCAGATAGAAGGATGCAAAAATTTCTTTTGGCTTAGGGAAACACCTACCAGCTCGGAAAAAGTCTTTTTTGATTCATTATGGGAGCTTTGTAGCAGTGTTGGCTGAAGTTGGATGTGTAAGACAGTTGCTCCTGAAGAAGGGAGATGGTTCAGAATTATTAAGAAGCAGGTATCTCAACGTAAGGGGTTTAGTTTAAAATTCCTGACCAGAAATGTCTGGTTAAAACTTTGCAAGTGAATTTGGAGCTAAAGAAGTTTAACTCAGTTTCATGAATATTCAAAGAAAAGGCGATCCGATTCTGGGAAATTGAAGCCGTAGCCAAATAAAACACGATAAATGACTGTCTCTGATTTTGTATACTATAAAAGAAGATATAAATGAAGACTATAAAGCAGTAGTATAAAGGGGCGGCACAGTGGCTAAATGGTTAGAACTGCTGCCTCACAGCACCAGGGATCCGGGTTTGATCCCACCCTTGGGCAACTGTCTGTGTGGAATTTGCACATTCTCCCTGTGTCCGCGTGAGTTTCCTCTAGGCACTCTGGTTTCCTCCCACAGTCCAAAGACGTACAGGTTAGGTGGATTGGTCATACTAAATTACCCATTGTGTTCAGGGTGTGCAGGTTAGGTGGATTAGCCACAGGGAATATAGGGTCACAGGGATGGAGTGGGTCTGGGTGGGATGCTTTTTGGAGGATTGGCGTGGACTTGATTGTGAATGCAAGCCATTCTGTCTCTGTAAGGATTATATGATTCTATAAATGCTGATTACAGGGATTGTAGTTTCATGTTTTGATTTTAAATGTTTAATTTTGTGTTATATGTGAAAGGTTTGGTTTATTCTGCCACACATATCACCTTGGCACACGTCCTGTAAGATTCATACCCCTAAGTAAACAATGGCAACAATTCAGCAATTATTCAAACATCAAACTTTGAAATTTGTTGAACCCTGAAGTTTTGAATAAATATGAAACTATTTAGAGATTTAAGCCAGACAGATTAACCAATAATTCTGCGGTAGCATTTTTGATCTATTATTTTCTAAACGCTGCAAAGTTAAAATATTTTTTATAAATGACTTGTCAAATTTGACTACTATTAAAGCATGTAGTAATTCTTCTCTCTTCAGGTTTCTTTTGGATTTTTAAAAATTTAACCTATTTTTCAAATCAACCTACTCTTTGATGTTATTACACACTCTGAAACAGATGGGACTTGAACCCGAGCCTTCAGGACTGGAGACACTACCACTGGGCCACAAGAGGGCCCTCTGATGGCTCTTTAAGAAAAATTTAGACTGTACAAAAATTTGTATCTCAGGATGTGCCAAGATTTACATAGCATGCAAACATGACATTCATTTCAATGATCCCAGCTATTGGTAATTCTGGACAAATCAGATCCCAAAGTAGAGCCTGGTTTACAGACAATACATTTTATTTTCATTTTTGTTTTCTGTGGAGCTCAGTCACTGAACATATACACAAGAGGCTGCCAATGTACTTCTAATAAAAGAACATACAGGTTTAGCAGAAGCTTTATTACACTAAACAAGAATTTTTGGACCAATCTGATTTAAACACCAGTATGAAATATTCATCCCTTTTACCCAAGCAATACCCCTACTGTCACTCAAATCTAAATAAACAGTAAACCTTGTCTCCACACTAAAGCCTCTTGCTTAACTGATATGACTGTAATCAGTTTCCTTTTGGCAAATTACTGCACATTCATTACATGCTGTTTTCTTCAGTTTTCTTCCCCGGGACTCTTAAAACAGAACTCTAACTCAGCTCACTATTACTTAAGATACATTGCCTCAACTTGTCTGACACAGCTTTGTAACATGTTTTTCTCTCTGACACAAGGTAACAAGAAGTAGGTAAGTGATAGAATGTTTAGCATAGGTCAGGATAGGTGGCAGATATTGGGTCTGGGGTCTCTGCAGATATCTAATCCTGGGGTTTGTTGAGTCTTAGGGGTGGCCTGGCTTCAGATCTGAATCTGAATTGAATGATGCACCATCAACTCCCCACTTGTTAGAAATAACATTCATTTCTATTCACAGTCAAGGAATATTGAAGATAATACTTAAATTTCTTTACCTAGGCTTGTAGACAACACCATTATTTTATCCCTGTATTTTGCTTTCTGGCAGACAGGATTTCCACTCAGGTTCAGATACCAGAGTTTTTGCCATTGGCTCAAGACATATTCCAGTTCCTGGATATGTGAATAATCAAAGATTGTAACATTTAAAATCTGTACATCCATTTCACCTCAATTTTAATTGTCAACTTGCATAATTTCTCAATAAAGTTGGAATTCAAAAAGCTTCATGCTTTTATAAAATCTTAAATTGACAGCGACAAAACAAATAAATTTTCACAGTAATAAATGATTCACAGTGTAATTTTGTACATACAAGTAATAGGACATAATGTAAAATAAAGCACATATTACAGTACATTAACTTAAAGAGATATTAGTGCACGACAACAAGATTTTTCAAAGAGCAAATTCTGTGTTGCAAGAACTGCAATTACAAACTTTAAGCATGATTTATTTCATTGTTGTAAATATTACATACATAACGATCGTGTACCTTCATTTCAGGTTTATGTTCCAAAAATCTTGTGTACAAAGTTAAATGCAGCACAAAAAAGACAACTGCACTCATTTATCTTTGGGTAAAACCTGCATAAAGAAGCTTGGTTGATTTAGCCGACAGCTAACTCACTTCCAAGCAAGACGAGTGTCTCAACAAGAACGTTTATCTAACAGACCATTAGTCCTAGTGGAAATATGATTACCCTTTGGACTTGTTTTTATTGTACATTGCCTTTCTGCCTCTAATAAAGTGGTTCCACTTTCCAACTACTCAATAATCAGTTCTAAAGGGACTCACTTTAGGGGGTTTCGTTTGCTTTGATAAATGATCGTGTCATGCTCGTCACTCAGAGGTCTGCCAGAAAATACTCAAGAGCAAATTATATTCAAGGCATGAGAATCAACTGGCTCAGCAAACACTGCAGCAGATTTTTCTTCAGCTAATGATGCCTAGTTATGAAACTGTATTTGACCACTGTGCTCCAATCTTTATCTTGCCGGTCTCGTTCAACTCTGTTAACTGCACTGCAGACACCAATTTGTCAACCAGCTGACTTTCTGTCATAATCTCTTTAAGAAAAATCTATATTTTTTAGCTTGTTCCTGACTAAATTGTGAGGAGGATAAATTTATCTTCTCTGATACAATCTACAGCTATATCAATTATGTGCTAAGGTTGCATATATTTAGTAACTTGGAAAATATATTGAATAATAATTTTTTCTACAATTTTACGTTTGACAATTTATAGTAACTAACATTTGAAGTTTTTGCTTGTTATCTACTGTTATCATTATTTCTCATCATAACATGCATTAAAACAATAGAGAAACACCTTCCCATTTAAAGATAAATGGTAACATCAGAAAACTAGCTACTCAAAATAAATGATCCCACGTTATCTATTAATGAATGCTTCAGCAATAAAAATGGAAAATGGCTGGACAGGTAATAAAATTGGAACTCAGAATGTACTTTGCAATATCTCTCTTCTAGAACTTTACAGTTTGATGTAGATAAATTCATGGCAGTATTAGGTTTGAAAGCATTTCATATGTCTTTTGAGATCATGGCAAGGTCTCCGGATGAATAGTCTAGCAAAAATGCCACTAGGCTATAGTGTCCCCGCACTTACCACCTCCGCCCCCCACCTCACTCCCATAGTTTCTTGCTGTTACTGAATCAAAATAAACAGGAGGTAGGAATATATAAAAAAAGGTGAATGGCATTCTTAATATTTTTTAAAATTGTTCATGTTAGTTTAGGTATCCTACCATGCTTGCTTTAGCATTTCAGCCAAGTAATGATTGAAGAGAAAAGAGAAAATGCATGAACAAAGATAGTTTGGAAACTCAAAGGACATAAAATAATAAACCTCAAAGGACTTGATAAACACTTAGTTCAAGAGAGTTACAGGCCTAGATGCAGCAATCTCAAATGACTGACAGCCAATGCACAACATAATTAGGGAACTCCTGAGTCATTATGTCACTCCTAGGCCAGCTGCTGGGCCAAGATTTGTGGTCATTAAGGACTAGGTAGAAATACTATTATGCGGTCCTAAATTTTAAAGCTGCCCTTGATTTTTTTTTTTAGTCCACTGGATCATTTCAGGGAGCTACTGGGGAACTTTGTAGTAGTTCACAGTACTCAACTGATAACTGCATCCAAAATTGTGACTGTTGCTCTTGTTGCAACAGCTCACTTATCCTTTATTATCCCCGAGTGTTTACTTGCTTTACCTCCTCCAAATGATGACTAGATGGAAGAAGTGTGCGGACACAGGGAAGGCTAAGAAGTGGATAAACAGCAACATCAGGGGTTAATTTTCCAATTCTAGATACAGGGGTGTTTCCAGAGGACTGGAGAATTGCAAATGTTATGCTGTTGTTCAAAAAAAAAAGACGATGTAAGCAAGCCCAGGAATGTCAATTTAATCTCAGAGGTGGGGCAAATCCAGCACAAAATGAAGACACTTGGGTAAATGCCAGTTAATTAAGGAATGCCAGCATGGAATTTGAGGGAAAATCATGTTTAACTAACTTTCTTGAGTTTTTTTGATGTAGTAATAGCAAAGGTTGATGAAGGAAATGCAGTTGATATGGTGCACAAGGACTTACTAAAGGCATTTGATAAAGTGCTGCACAACAGACTTGTGAGAAAAGTTAGACATGGATGTGAAATTTGCTTGCTGCTTGTTGATAGGAAGCAGACAGCTGTGCTAAATGTCTTTCAGATTGGATGAATGCTTTTGGCGGGGTTCCCCAGGGGTCGGGGTAAGGGCTCTTGCCCTTCATGACATAATTAATGACCTAGCCTTTGATGTGCAGGATACAATTGCAAAACCTGCAGATGACACAAAACCTGAAAGTATTGTGAACAAAGAAAAAGGTGGTGTTCAAGTTCAAAAGGACATAGACGAGTTGGTGGAATGGACAGAGAAGTGTTAGATGAAATTTAATGCAGAGGAATATGAAGTGATTTTGTTTGCAAGAATAAACATAAACCAAACGGTACAATTCTAATGGGATTGCATAAGCAAAGGGACTTAGGAGTAAATATACACCCCAAAACTGAAGGTGACAGGGCAAGTTGAAAGAGCAGTAAAGCAAATGGGATCTTGGGCTCTATAAATAAGGGCACTGAGTACAAAAGGAAGCTTTGATAAACCTGTATTAAACAATGGTTTACTCTCAGATGAGTATTGCATTCAGTTCTGGACATCACATATTAGAAAGGATGTGAAAGTATGAGAAAGAATGCAGAAAAGATTCGTAAGAATGATTATAGCGATCAGCAACTTCAGTTATGTGGATAGATTGAAGCTGGGGCTGTTCTCCTTGCAGCAGAGTGGGTTAAAAGGAGAATTTATGAAGACTTTCAAAATCATGGAGGGCATGGACAGAGTAGTGAGGGAAAAACTGATGAATTGATGTACAGCTCAAGAACCAGAAAACACCAATTTAAGATGGGCAAATGAAGCTGCAACAACATAACAAAAAAATTCTTCACCTAAGTAATTAGAATCATCATAGAATCCCTACAGTGTGGAAACAGGCCATTCAGCCCAACAAGTCCACACCCAGACCCATTCCCCTAATTTCCCATGTCTAACCCACCTAACCTAAACATCCCTGGGCGCTATGGGAAATTTAGCATGGCCAATTCACCTACCCTGCACATCTTTGGACTATGGGAGGAAACCCACGCAGACACAGGGAGAATGTGCAAACTCCACACAGACAGTCACCCGAGGTTGGAATCGAACCCGGGTCCCCGGCGCTTTGAGGCAGCAGTACTAACCACCGAGCCAAAGTGCCACCTAATTGAATCTACTCCTACCACATGCTGAGGCAGATCCTAATTAATATTTTAAAAAGAGAATTGCTTCATTATCTGAAAAGGAAAACAATTACATGACTATGGGTAAAGGTAGGAAAATGGCACTAGGTGAATTGCGAAGCCAGCACAGAAATGAGTATTATCAGTCTATGAATCTATCAAGTGCCTGGACCACAGCCATTGTGGCTGTGGAGCAGTCTTTTTGGAACAGCTGGCCCTTCTATGTCAATAATGAGGAATCTAGATAAAATAAATACAGAGAAACTATTCCCACTGGCAGAACAAGACAGAAATCAAAGGTAATTCAAAGGAAAGAACCAAATATTACATAAGGAAAAGTTTTTGTTTGAACACAGCTGATAGAGGGTAAGTCAGAATGATGGAGGGTGTTGAAAAGGGAATTGGATAAACATCTGAAGAGAAAAAAATTGCAGAGCTGTGGGAAAGACCAGTTGAGAGGGAGTAGCTAATGGACCTTCTGTTGTCTAACTATTTTCGTAGGTAACAAATTTTTAAAAATGGTGAAAATCATAAAAGAATAGTAAAAGTCTTGAATTTATATAGCATCTTTCGTGACCTCAATATGTCCAGAAGCACTTTATACCCGATGAAGTACTTTGCAAAAGTAATCTCTCTTGATTTATAGGCAATGCAGCAAGAGGAGGAAGAGCTTGAGGATTACCAGAGTCAGCCATGATCTTATTGAATGGTACAGCAGAGTCGATGGGCTGAATAGTTTACTTTTACGCTTACATTTTATAGTCTTATGGATGGGAATGATGATTATTGGCAATGGCATGAGACGACTAATTCAGAGGCCTAGGGTTATGGTCTGCCACAGCTGAATTTCTACCATAGAAGCTGGTGGAATTCAAATACAGTTGAAAGTCTCATCAATGGTGACCATGAAGCCATAATCAAATATCACAAAAACCCATATGGGTCTCTAATTTCCTTCAGGAAAGAAATATGCCTGGTCTGGCCTAAGAATGAACCTAAGCTTTTAAATGTCTTCTGAAATTGCCTAGCAAGCCACTCTGTTTAAAGATGATGAGGGTTAAGCAACAAATACCAGCAATTCCATCAAAGATAAATGTAATTTCCACGGCACTGTAAATTCATACTAACAACAAAGACAGATAATCCACTTTGGTGACACTGGTTGAGAGATAAATGTTTGCCAGGACATAAGGGAAAATTTTCTTCCATTTGTTCAAAGAATATCATTTTATTTTATGCCCACCCGACAGCAGACAGGGACCCAGTTTAAAGTCTCATCTGAAAGATGTAAAGGTCTAATTACAGTTTGCCTCCCCATTTTTGAAGCTGTGAACAAAGAACAGCATGTGGAGACTTCCTTAAGAATATGCTTTTGAGATAAGATTACCTTTATATCTTGAATATGATTGTCTTCAGCCATAAACTGATTCAGGTTCCCAAGACAAGCCAATTCTTTTATCTCATCAATACTATTCTTCTTGATGTTCAAAACACACAAGGATTTCTGCATAAATAAAAATAACTCTGTAGATGTGTTAAAATGAAAATTTTCTATTACACTTAATTTATCTCCTATTATCTATTTTAATTATGTTTAATTTACAATAATTGTAATAGTTACTGTCTAGGTGAGTGTAATCACGTTTACATTAATGATTTCATCACACAAGTATTTTGTAGAGAATAATAGATATCTTAGTGATTACAAGTACACATAGTGGAATATAAGTGATTTTTAAACTGTTTATAGATGTTATTTTTAATTCCTAAAAAGTTGCCAGGAGATCAGTCCCTTTATCATTATTTTTAAAAACAAATGGATGGAGTGTGTTTAAACATTTACACTCCAGTGGCAGAATTTTATAAAGACTCTGATAATGGGAGATATGGCAAGCTGGGTGAATTAATCAGGTGGGATCTGAAATTACGAAATCATAATGGCTGATTCAGAATAAAAAATTAAGTCAGAAGTGTTGCCATGGTGGGGCAGGTCTCCTGTAGTGGGTTCCTACTTGTAGTATATTTACATCTGTGAATATTCATTATGTAATGCTTTTTGAAATAAATCCTACCTTCAACAATAATTCAGCAATACATGGGACACTCATGGTACCCGATTCATGTTTTTTTGAAAGGAGGTGTACACAAATCAACCCTGTGCAACAGTGTTTGACATGAGTGATTGGCTTTGTTGAACTGCGCAGCAGGGAGGGGACCAAGAGAAGAACAAGAATTATCAAACAGGGTTAGGTAGGTATAGTGTTGGACTTAAAAAAAAACCTTCAATCCAGGCCATTAAGGGTTAATCCTTAATTGTTAATTGCTCATGGTAATGAAATTGAAAGAAAGCGTTTCCATATCATGTTGTATTCAGTTCTTATATCATTGTTTGCCTTTTCAACACAGTTCACTTGATCGAATATCAATGGTTCTTATACACCCAATCTTCTTACAAGCCTTGGAGAAGCAGGAGAGAATGTGTGGAAACAACACTGGATAACAACCGAAGCTACAAGGCCAGCATCAGTGGAGGAAGTATTTAAGATTCTACGGCCAAGGAAGGCATAGAAGGTACCTGTAGTGATTGTAACAAGGTCAGCAGGTGGATCTCATACAAAATGAAGTCCCTGATTGGGACTGTTAATCAGGTCCAATCAGGGAACCCTGGCTGACAGATAAAAACAGGAGTGTCAGAGGTTCTGTTCACTGAAAACTGGCTCTGTGGGAGCTGGATCAGTGTCAAGGGCTCTCCACATGTGTAAATAAAGGGTGACTTGATGACGGGATACTAGCATCTGTGGAGTTTTTTTAATGGCGATGAGACAAAAGTGAGTTTCCTGAAGAAACTCACTTGCATCAGTTGTTTTTAAGTTGGGGTAAACATTTCTGGCATCATGCTGTTATTTGGAAAGTTTGACTTGTTCAGTCTTGCTGTTGAAGGCTGGGCCCAATACGTGGAAAAATGCATTATTGTTTCCAGGCAAATGACACTGGGACAGGTGAAATGCAACAAGTAATTCTCATGAAACCTTGTGATCTGCAGCTTTGTCAGTTACTAATCCCTGAGGCACCAGATACTAACACTTTTCAAGAGTTAACCGATTTAGTTAAGGAATATTACGACTCCAAGCCTCCTCTAATTCTGAGGGTACAATTTTGGTTCCGGTCTCTTATGAGAAGCAGCTGGTTCAGTTACCACTGATTGCAGTAAGAGGCTCGGGCCCAAGCTTTATTGGGTGAAATTGGTTGAGAAAGATTCACCTAGATTGGCTCAATATTTTTTGGTTAGAAAATGGCTGCCTGAGTGAAGTCCTGATGAAATGCCTGGAAGTTTTTCAAGAAGGTCTAAGGACTATCAAAGAAGTCAAGACCACCTTGCATGTTGACCAGGAAGCAATTCCACGATTCTGCATGGCCTTTCCAGTGCCAATTGCCTTACAGGCAAAAGTAGAGGCAGAAATCAGAAGGCTAGAAAATGAAGGAATCATCAAACCAGTCCAATTTGGAATAGGCAGTCAGACCGATTGTGGAGCCCTAATGGGTCAGTTCACCTTTGTGGGGATTTTAAACAAACTCTAAGCCGCTTTTCACAGCTGGATAAATGATCAATCCCTCACACAGAGGACCAATACACAAAGCTGGCAGGGGCCTGTCCTTCACGAAGCTGGACATGAGTCGTGCATACTTGCAATTGCAGTTGGATGAGGATTTCCAGAAATCTACTACAATTAATACCTATAAGAATTTGTACTAATATATGAGATTGCCACTTGTGGTATCGTCAACCTGTATAATTTTTCAGTGGACGATGGAGAACATTTTACAAGATCTACTCCAGGTCGCCATTTATCTAGATGACATGCTAATAACAGGGAAGACCATAAAGAGCACTTAAAAGATCTTGGACATAGTTCTTAAACATTTCTCCCAGGTGGGCCTATGCCTTAGAAGGGAAAAATCTGCATGTTCTAGGTGCCCTAAGTGAGTTACTTGGGCTACAGAGTCAATAAGACAGGTTACACCCGTTGGAAGATAAAGTCAGGGCGATTAAAGATGCCCCAGCTCCTACGTCAGTGCTGGAGCCTCGGTCTTTCCTTGGGCAGGTGAGCTATTATGGAAAATTCATACATAACCTGGCTTCCACCCTGGCACCTTTGCATCAACTCTTATAGGGTCAGCCTTGGAAATGGTCATGTAGCCAAGCCAGAGCTTTCAGGGAAGTCAAGAGACATCTATCATCTCCTAAGGTGTTGGCACACTATGATCTCAAGCAATATGCGATGTCTCCCCGTACGGCATAGGGAGAATATTAGCTCATAGGTGCTCCAATGGAGAGGAATGCCCAATAGCGAATGCATCCAGGACTTTGGCTAAAGTAGAGCATAAATATACCCAGAGAGAGAAGGAAGGTTTGGCAGTCATACTTGTAATCAGGAAATTCCACCAATATCTTTAAGGATGTAAATTTGCAATAAAAATGGATCAGAGACCCCTGATAGGTCTACTTAAAGAGAACAAGGCAGTGCCGCACATAGCTTCAGGCTGAATTCATCGAAGGGCTCTAAAACTAAGCCCGTATAATTATGAGTTGGAACACCGTCCGGGAGAACAAGTAGCAAATGCGGATGCAAAACCTGCTGGCAGATGCACCACTGGTGGTATCGCCACTGGAAGAGTCCATAATTATTTTAAATTTTCTGGACACACTTCCAGTTGCAGCTGACGATGTAAGAATTTGGGCGCAGAAATATCTGGTCCTGGCAAAACTAAAACAGCTAGTGACAATGGGGGAAACCAAAGGGCCATCACAATCAGAACTGAAACCTTTTCAGACCCCAACAGACCAAATCACAATAGAGGACGGTATATTATTATGGACAACAAGAGTGATTATCCCAAGCAAACGTTGCCGCCAGATACTGGCTGAACTCCACAAGGGTCATCCAGGAATTCCAAAACGAAGATGTTGGCGAGAACTTATGTCTGGTTGCCAGGATTGGATGGGTGGGACAGTGACCAAAGTGCCAACAAGGACAAAAATTAAAGCAACTCCCTCACATTTGTTTAAGTGGCTGGGTGAACCCTGGACCCAGTACATGTTGACTATGCATGGGCTCATCGTTCTTAGTCATTGTGGATGACTATTCAAAGTGGCTGGACGTGGATAGAGTTCATTCGTCAAACACAGGGATGACGACAGAAAAGCTGCGCACATCTTTTGCATACACGGACTCCCGGAAGTTTTGGTCACAGATAATGGGCCGTTGTTTACCAGCAGGGCATTTGAGTATTTCTGAAAGTCGAATTTGCAGCAGAGTTGCTAATGGGGAAAAGACTCAGCACCGGGTTAAATCTGATCTTCCTGGACCTGGTGGGAAGGGTGAAACGGCAACACCAATGCCAGACGCAAGATTCTGCTAAGCAAAGGAGATAGTTTACTTCAGAGGACAAAGTCTGGTGTAGGAACCATGAGAATGGCCCTGCATGAGTAAGAGAAATGGTCAACATAAGGTCAGGTCCGGTGATGTATAAAGTTCGGGTAGGTGTAATGGTCCCGAACAAGCACGTGGGCCATCCAGAAGCTGCAAACTTGCAAACAGTGCGGGAGCAAAACGTGCCCGGCTCCTTGACTTACTTTCCGACTGTTCAGGAACTCATGAGTTGTCCCTGTCAAGTGTTGAAGATATCTCGGAATCTGAGATGGACACAGCAAATGTCGACGCCTTTGCTGCCTGAAGGAGAAAATTAATTTCTTTCGAGACACTCCGAGTGCAAGAGGCGAGCTACTGCACGTTACGTGCCACCTTTACCAGATGCAGAGTTGGAGTAACCTGACCTGCTGCTAAAACGCCCCAGGAGGAGTTACAAAAAATGGAACCAACCTATGTCCTTGGACTCCGAGGGGGAGGTTGTAACAAGGTCAGCCACGTGGACCTCATAGAATATGAGTTCCTTGATTGGGGCTGTTAATCTGGTCCAATTAGACAACCCCTGCTAGCAGATATAAATAAGAATGTCAAAGGCTCTGTTGACTCAGAGAGCTGGATTACTGTCAAGGACTCTCCACATGTAAATAAAGGGTGACTTGGTGAGGGGATACCAGCCTCTGTGGAGTTATTTTAACAAGGACCAGAATTGGGCCATTCACTCCATCGAGCCTGCTCCGCCATTTGATCATGGCTGACATATGGTTCCCAATGGGTCAGTACTAGGATCTCTGTTTTTCTTAATCAATATTAATGACATAGGTGTGGGTGTGCAGGGCACAAATTCAAAATATGTGGAGGACACAAAACTTAGGAGTATTGTAAACTGTAGGGAACATAATGACAGACTTCAAAAGATCAGAGACAGGTTTACGGAATGGAGGGCTGCTTGGCAAATAAAATATAAGGCAAAGTAGTGTAAAGTTATATATTTTGTTAGAGAACAGGGAAAGGAAAAATGAAACAAAAATATAATTCTAAAGAGACACTGGAGCTATAGGGCTGCTCTCCCTTTGGAGGGAGATGACTGGTAATGGTTTAATCTGTAGGTCACCACACTTCAGGGAAGGGGAGAGGTTGAGAAGGGAAGTCCTATATGGTAACCTCAATGGGAACCATACCCATGCTGTTGGTATATTGTGCATTGCAAACCAGCTGTCCAGCCAACTGAGCTAACCAGCCCCCTCAAAGCAGAGGGATTGGAGATATACTTATTTTTGGTACTAACAACCACTGAACCACCTCAAATGATAGGGGCATTAATTACTGTAAAGAAACCTAAAAATTAAAGAAAACTTAAATTAAAAAGGTAATATCCTATGTCAGTGATACATGCCAAACCCCCGGTATTCATGTTGGAGAAGGCCTCAAAAGCACTGGAAGACACTCTTTATCTCTTTCCAGAGACTCCCAGGCAATGTAACCACAACAGAGAGACAGGGAGTCAGGCCGAACAAGCACCACAACCTGGGCCTGTGAATGCCACTTTGGCCAGGAGAATATAGATATTTCTAAGCAACCTGTTCAAAGAAGTTATTACACACGTCTTGAGCAAGTTTTTTTAATTCAATCCTGGGATGTGGGCATCACTGTCTGGGCCAGCATTTATTGCCCATCCCTAATTGCCCAGACGGCAGTTAGGAGTCAACCACACTGCTGTGGGTCTGGAGTCACATGTAGGCCAGGCCAAGTAAGGATGGCAGTTTCCTTCCCGACAGGACATTAGTGAACCAGATGGGCTTTTCTGGCAATCAAAAATGGATTCATGGTCATCATTAGACTCTTAATTCCAGATATTTATTGAATTCAAATTCCACCATGTGCCATGGCAGGATTTGAACCTTGGTCCCCAGATTAACAGTCCAGCAATAATACCACTAGGCCATTGCCTCCCATAAATTGGATGTAAATCCAGGCCTCCTGACTCAGAGGTAGGGAGACCACCACTGTGCCAGAAGAGCCATACAATTTGGAGATCTACTTCTTTGAAACAAATTGAACTAAATTAATTAGAATAACAAGTGACACCCTCTCAAAGGGACAACATCACACAATTCAAAACTTTAAATATGCTTACAAAATGTAATTAAAATAATTTTTGGGAAGGGGAATATTGCACTCTAGCCCCTACCCCAGTCAGCGGGTAGCAGCGCTCCAGTACTCGCCAGCACCTTTAGGAGTGGTGGCAGCTGCCAACAATAAACCCACCAAAAATGCAGGATATTGAAGGGACTCACATTGCAGGTGAGTGATGGGGGTCATGAGGAGGGGCTTCCTGGCTGGGGTGAAAAAAGCAGTCAGAGGGAAGGGCAGGAAATGGTTTTCAGCATGCCATTCCTCCCTGATGTCAGGTCTCTCAATCAGGCACTCAAGTGCCTTTGAACAAAGCACCCTCTTGGGAGCTGAGATTTGCTTTTCAGGCTTCCTGCATGGTTCAAAACTGAAGGCAACAGGAGGAGACCTTCAAGTGAGTTTAATTAGTGTCCATGCAGGAAAGTTGTTAATGAGCCTTCCTGAACAAACTTAATTGAGTGGAGGCACAAAGGCATTGGGGTATCCACTCCATACTTCCTGCTTGTTTAAATACCCACTCCCTCCAAGCTCACTGCTGGGTATATTCAATTCAGACCCATATTCTCACAAGTTTTTGATTTGAGTTCAAATTAAGTGTAAAATCATTAAGTTTTATATCTGTCTACTGTAAGGAAAGATCTACTTTAAGCTACATGGTTCCACAATATCAGAGACTGAGTTATACCTAAGAAAGTTACTATCAAATGCAACTGCAACAACTACTTACTTTTAGAGATTGGAGAGTCCTAGGATCAAACAGCAGCTTCTCTCCAAGGGGAAGGCGCTGGTTCTCTACATGCAATTCTCGAAGCTCTGTTAATCCTTCCAACTCTTCCACTACAGAAATGCAATTGCCACCTAGATACCTACATGTAAAAATAAGCACATTCCTGTAAGAAAGGAATATATTGCATACTGAGGATTCTCAGCTGTCCCAAAAAATTGAAAGACCCTATGGAAGGGGTGGAATTTTGCTACTGAAGTGAGCAGCTTGAGTGGGGAAATTTCCTGATCTAGCAAATTAATCCAGATGACAGGGTCCTGTAAGACCCAATTTTTGCTCTCGGGAACGTGGAAGCAGATTATAGTTGGGTTCACTGATTTAATATACAGATCTGAAGTAGGCATGGGTGCAGTCAGGTTGGTGTGGTCATTGTTTCAGATGCTATTAGGCCCTCTAGCGCTCACATCCTTCACATCCTCTTGACACCACCACCCAACCTCAATGGCTTCTTTGTATCAATTCATGCTCCTCAAACCACCCCATTTTGCCTCATACTTCCAACGACCCATCTATATTCACTCCCTCAGTAATATTACCAAAAGAAAAGAAATGTAAGGTCTGTATGTTGACAGTATGCACTCAACACCACCTCTCTCAAACCCTTCAATGACTCTATGTTATCAGACCGCGTGTCCAACATCAATGCCTTGGATTCCTGCCAAAATTTTCAAAACATTGAAAAGATTGAAGCTATCCAGTCTCTAGACACTAATCCCATCACCCTCCCTAACCACACTCTTAAGTTGATTCAGACTGTTTGTCCTCCTATCTTGGCTGAGAGCTGAACTTCTGATTCCACATACTGTACAAGACTGCATACTTCCAGTTAATTGCTGTGCCGCCTCAGCCACAGCACATCAAGCCAAACCATGCTTTAGGTGAACTCCAAACCTACCAATCTATTGCTCTCATCAGTGACCTTCCATTTTCCTCCTTTCTTAAATTTGAACGCCCAAAATTCTGCTGCTCTTGTCGCAGCTTGTATCAAGTCCCATTCACTCAGCATCTCTAGGTCACTGACCTACATGGACTCCCAATAAACCAAAAATGAAAATGAAAAGTTCTAATCCTTGTATTCACATTCCACCCATGGTATTTTCCTCAAGGTAGGTTGGTTCCTGAAAACCTCCACCAGTTAAAACGGTTTGTGAATCTTGGTGGGGGAAACCTGCGATGGAGTCAGGAAGCTTTTGATAAATAAACTTAAAAAATCTTGCTTACATTCCCTTATATCAACCATGCTCCCTCCACAACCACTTATATCTCCTACACAACCTTCCACGACCCCTTCACTTCTGCTGACAACTTGGGCCTACTGCTGAGGGGTTACCTTAGAGGTTTATAAAGTCATGAAGGGCATAGATAGGGTGAATAGCCAAGGTCTTTTCCCCATGGCAGGGGAGTCCAAAACTAGATGGCATAGGTTTAAGATGAGAGGGGAAAAAATTTAAAAGGAACCTAAGGGGCACATTTTCATGCAGAGGGAAAATACGTGTATGGAATAAGCTGCCACAGGAATTGGTGGTGGCTAGTACAATTACAATTAAAGGCATCTGGATGGATATATGGAATAGGAAGGGTTTAAAGGGATACGGGCCAAATGCTGGCAAACGGGACTAGATTAATTTAGGATATCTGGTTGGCATGTTGGACCGAAGGGTCTGTTTCCATGCTATATATTTCTACAACTCTATGTTCCCCACAATAGCCCAACCCTGACTCCCACACATCAAAATTTTGTGATAGTTTTCAGACATTTAGAAGTTAGGGAAACAATCTTGGGAAATGGTGTGACTTGTGATTCGCAAACGAATTTGTCTGGTATTCCACCCAATGTCAGTAATCACTATTTGGTCATTATTTCATTGGTGTTTGAGACCTTTTTGCATGGAAACTGGCTTCAACTTTTCACTACATTAAAACAGTTACTATACTTCAAAAGTAATTAATTAGAATACCTGAAGATTATAAAAAACACTTTATAAATGCAAGTTCTTTCTTACCTAAGCTCATGACAACTCATTATTCATACAATATTTTTGTTTTAAACTTTAATTTTAGAAAGTAAAAGCGAGGATTGGCTTACAATTTAGTGAGGTTTTGTAGCGAGGAGAGATTTGCAATGTGTGTTATATTATTGTTCTGCAGGTACAGATGGGTGAGATTAATTGCAAAATCTAAATTATGAATCTGTGTGATGTTGTTGTCATATAAATATAAAACAGACAGGTTCTTGCATACCGGGAGGTCATCCTGAAACAAACGGAAAAGCAAACATAGTTTTAGAAAAAAAACTCAATAGATATAAATGGCATTTTCACTTTTAACCTCATGCATAACTAGCCATGCACTACTCCTCTGTAGTTTTACTCACCATATCTTGCCAAGCAAAATGGCATTAACATACACGAAAGACGTGAAGTTGCAGTACTTGCCTATTAGCTAGCCACAAAAGAGGAAGTGAATAACCTGGTAATTACTGCTCAGTTAATTTATTGGCTGGGATCCTTTTGGAAACAATAATCTGGAAAAAAAATTAACAACAACTTGGACAAACATGAAGGAGAACCACTGTGGGTCTGTTAAGGACAAACTGTGTTTGACCAATGTGATTGATGTTTTGAAAGGGAACAGAGAGTAGATGAAGGCGGAGCAGTTGATGTGTCTTTGGACTTTAAAAAGGTGTCTGATAAAGTACCAGACAATAGCTTTGTTAGTAAATTGAAGCAGCATGGATACAAAATTGGCTAAGGAATAGGAAACAGCATTGTGGTAAATGGATGGTTTCAAATTGAAGTAAGATACACAGCATTGTCCCCCAGTTCTTAGTTTTAGGATCACTGCTTGTTTTTGATATGGTATTCATTAACGGCTTGGACTTGGACATGGCATAATTTCAAAATTTGCAGATGATACAAACGTGAGGGAGATTACACACAAAGTAGCAGGAGATATTAATAATGCATCATCCTGGCTCTGTAATTGGTGCATGGTGCACAAAAAAATCCATGATGTAATACTAAACCTACATAAACACTAACTCAATCCTACCTGGAGTTTTCCCGCCATTTCTGGGCAGCACGATTTTGAGAGTATGTGAAAGCTTTGGAGCAGATACAAAAGAAATTTATTAGAATAGTTCTGGGAATAAGGGATCACAGCTAAATGGACAAACTAAAGAAGCCTTACAGCAGAGAAAACTAAGACAAGATTGATGAAGCTGTTTAAAATATAGAAGAGTCTGGAAGGAATAAATAAACTGTTTCCAATGGCTGAACACTTGATGAGCAGAGGACAGGAAATGGCGAGTGGAGGGGCAAGTAGTGAAGGGGTTGGTGATGAGCAAGCACAGAGCAGTTTTCTGATTGCTATGCTGTAGTTTAAAGATTATATATGTAGAAACACAATTAAAAACAGGGAACATAACTTATCCTTAATCAATTAAGTGAACTCACAATCTCATCAATATTCTTGTTTGAAAAATTTAGATGAGTCAATTTTTTTAGGTATTGTTCCAACGGTTCATCTCTTCTGTTCTTTACATGGATACTATTTTTAGCGATTAGATCCACTGTAAGTCGACCCATGATATAACAGATTTTAACAAACTTGACTCAGAGTTATTTCATGTAATGTTTCATTCGAGCTGTTGATTATTTCCAGAAGAATAATTAAATTATCCTGTGGAAAGAATTTAAGAGATAATTACATATTTGATACATATATTATATACATATGATAATTACAAATACCTCTTGCAAACAGTGATGCAAGTTTTGGTTTCTCCGCTGCACAAGAATGGGTCACAACTGTGATAGAGACCCAGTGCCTGCCCTGCCCTTGGACTCATCTCTTGGTCTCTCTCTCTCTCTCTCTCTGATTGATATCATTATGATCTGCACTTTATTGCTGCATTATTGAAGCAGAATAAGCTTGTTCTGTAGCAAAACGGTTCACCTTTCACTTGTTGGATCTTTTCACTTAGCTTTCACTGTAGTTATATTTCTTGTTAGTTTACGCTCATGTTCTGATTTTCTAAGTCATCCTTTGCTGTTTTCTAAAGATTTCACAATGCTTAGGCCCATCATTATTTTGTGCAGCATTGTATGACTTTTCTTTCAATTAGATATCATCTTTAGCTTTCTTTGTTAGTCATGGAAGATGCATTCTTCTCAGACAGTATTTCTTTCTCATAGGATATATCTTTGGTGAGGGTTATGAAACATCATGCCAACCATCTTACCTTTTATTTTATTTCTGTTCCACTGAAACCAACTTTGTCTTTATACCTTTTCACCTGGCTTTATTTAAGCATAATACATTAGTTTAAGATTCAAGTTCCACACCCTCAAGATGAATGAGAAATTACATGATACAATAATAACTCTTGCCAAGAGAATACTGCCTGGTTTCTGATTCCATGTGCTCTGATTGGTACCAGAATATATTGTTCAAAGAAACTGTCAACTGAATGCATCTTTGAGCAGAATGCTGAGAGTTCAGTGAGTACTGGAAGTCTTAATATATTTCTAAAAATCTAAATTTGGCCTGTATTTCATATTTAACATTTAACTGTAATTGGCTGTTTAAATTCTAAATTCTAGGTTTAACCAGGGATATATAAACTCTCAAGTTGAGAGCAACTAAAGTAAGTTAATTAAAAAATCCAGCTTTTGGAATTTGGGGCTGAGCTAACTCAGAGCATATAAAGACATTTCAATGTGACTTAGCACTGAATGTGATTTGAGCAGTGTGTGCTGGGAGTTACGTGAGTAAGGGAATTATGTGAGGAGAGGGGAAGAAAATGTTTCTTTGCTTTTTCTTTAATTTTTTCACCCTGTAGTAACTGGAGAGCATCTAGTAGGTGGTTAAGATCTATTCCATTCCCCAGATTTAAAATAATATTGGAACTGGTGGTAAGGCTAATAAAATACATTAAAAAGGAAAATAAATAATTGAATAAGATAATTAAGTAGTTAATTTGAAAGTGGAGTCACAGGTAGACAGAGCAGTGAAGGCGGCTTTTGGCACACTGGGCTTCATTAGTCAGGGCATTGAGTATAGAGTTTGGGAAGTTATGTTACAGTTGTACAGGACGTTGGTGAGGCCACACTTCGAGTATTGTGTTTGCTTTCGGTCACCTTGCTATAGGAAGGATGTTATTAAACTAGAAAGAGTGTAGAAGAAATTTACAAGGATGTTGCCAGGACTCAAGGGACTGAGAAACAGGGAGAGGTTGGACAAGCTAGGACCTTTTCTTTAGAACGTAGGAGACTGAGCGGAGATCTTATAAGTGTATAAGATCATGAGAGGCATGGATAGGGTGAATGCACTCAGTCTTTTTCCCAGAGCTGGGGATTCGAGGACTAAACAGCATTCGGTTAAGGTAAGAGGGGAAAGAACACAAGGGAAAGTGAGGGGCAACTTTTCAACACAGAGGGTGGTACGCATATGGAATGAGCTGCCAGCAGAAGTGGTTGAGGCAGGTACATTAACAACATTTAAAAGGTATTTGGATGAATGCATGGATAGGAAAGGTTTAGAAGGATATGGGTCAAGTGCAGGGAAATGGGATTAGCGTGGATGGACATTTTGGTCGGCATGGATCAGTTTGGGTCGAAAGTCCTGACTCTATTAAAACACTTTAAGGATGGCAGGACAGGTATGTACTACTACTGATGTCAATCTAATAGGTCGTAGTTCTACATTCTCCCTCTTCTTCCTAACTTAAATAGTGGGACTACATTTTCTGTTTTCCAGACTAGAGGAACCTTTCCTGATGCTATAGAATGTTGAAAAATAATTACTCATACATCCACTATCTCTCTAGGTACCTCCTTCAATGCTATGGGATCAAGCTCATCTGGTCCAGAGTATTTAGCAACCTTCAAGGGGACAATATACAATGGTGGATTGACATTATTCTCTGCAGCAAAGAATGAGAGTCAAGAAGGCTGTGCTGCCTGCCATTACCAGTATTTACAATATCTGTTCAGGGTCAGAAAGGAACTTATAGTGGGAGGGGAAGATCCAGTTGTCATGGTGCATGTAAGTACCAATAACATAGGCAAAGAAAACGGTTCGCTGTAGTCAGTATGATGAGCCAGGCATCAAATGAAGAAACAGAACAAAGGTAATTACCTCTATTAGCTGAGCCACATGCAAATTACCATAGGAAATATAAGATGAGAGAAATTACTGCAAGGCTTAGCGATTGGTGCAGTACAAGAGGATTTTGGTTTGAGGAGCACTGGCATGAGTAGGGGAAGAGTGGGGAAATGTATCATTAAGTTGGCCTACACACAAACTGTACTGGGGTCAGTGTTCTAGCAAGCTGCATAACTAGGGAAGTACAGACTGTTTTAACTAGAGTGGGCAAAATGATCAAATTTGGAAAGATGTGATGAATCACAAGAGAAAGAAGGCATTAATATGGAAAATGAAAAATATGGAAAATAAACAGGCCATGGCAGGAAGGGGCAGGAAGTACAAATTAAGAGTAAATCAACAGATAAGGCTAGATTGAAAGTTAAAGGATAAACAAATGATTTTGTATCTGAATGCATGTAGCATTTGAAAATAAAAAGATGAACTGATAGAGCAAATAGAAATAAATGCTTATTACCTGTTAACCATTGCAGAGGCATGGCTGCAAGATGACATATGTTGGGACTTGAATATTGAAGGGTTCATGACAGTTGGGAAGGACTGAAAGCTAGGAAAAGGTGGAGGGATCACTTTGTTAACTGATGATGCTATTAGCACAGACAATGATGATCCAGGTTGAGGAACAAGGATATAGAAGCAATTCATGTATAGATGAAAAATGATAATTGCAAGAAGTCTCTTGTGGGAGTGATGCACAGGCCTCCTAACAGTATCCATATGGTATCATGGAATGTCAAGGAAGAAATAATGCAAAAATTATCAAAAGGTTGGTGATAGTCATGGGGGTTTAAATCTACATACAGACTGGAAAAATCAAATGGACAAAGGTGACCTAGATGAAAGATTCATAGAAATTTTTGAGTCTAGTTTGTTAGAACAACACTTCTGGAACCAACCAGAGAGCAGGCCATAACAGACTTAGTATTAGGCAATGCAACAGGAATAATTAATAATCTCGTAGTGAAGGCATTCCTAGATAACAGTGACATATTATGATAAGATTGAATTTTACTTTCAGTATGAGGGAGAGAAGAGTGGGTCCAGGACTAGTACTTTGAACTTAAATAAGGGCCATTATGAAGACATTAGAATCCTAGAATTAAGATGGCGGCGGCAGCAGGGTATGCAGGGTATGCAGGGTTCTGGCTCCTGAACCCATCTGCTCCTCAGCACCAGGCCGGCCATATCCTTTATTCTCGTTTTCTTTCTTTTCTCTTTCAGCTTCATGCAGTGAAAGAAGGTGGCTTTAGCAGGATCAGGCAGCCCACAGCAAGATAGGGAGAAGGCAGCCCGCAGTCCAGGGCGGCCAGCAGTGAAAGTGGGAGAAGGCAGCCGACAGTGGATGGCGGCAAGGGTGGAAGCAGGCAGCCCATGACAGTGGTGGCAGCAGTAGCAGGAAAAGGCTGGAAACTGGTGACAGCAAGCAGCCCAGGGCAGTAGCAGGCTGAGGTCAACCCCCTGTAAGGAGTGCAAGTCTAGCATGGCTAGGCGCTTATGGACTGTGGTGTTGAACTGTTAACGGTGCTTCTTTGTTTCGCTACTTTTTAGTTTAACTTTTTAAACTTTGTTTTCCTTATTTTTCTGCTTTGCAACCAAGATTCTGTACCTAGGTACCTTTTTACCTAAGATAGCACTATAAGTGGCAACTTGTAAACTTTACACTGTACTCATGTGAGCACATGTAACAATAAACCTAATTTAATTCAATGTAAATTCAGCTAGCTAAAGTGAACTGCCAAATAAGTTAACAAACAGGTCAATAAAGATGAGAGACAACAAGGTGCAGGGCTGGATGAACACAGCAGGCCAAGCAGCATCATAGGAGCAGAGAGGCTCCCTTGAGGTTTGTCCGGAGGGAGGAGAGTAACTTCTTCAGGTTAGGCATCCTTAGAAGAGGCTTCGCAGTGGGGTTAAAATTTGTAGTGGCAGGCATTTAACGGGCATTTCAGGAAGAAATTCTTCCTTCTTAAAACAATCCCCTTATCTCTGGAATCAAAGTAGTGAACATCCCAACAATTTATTTTATCAGTTCTGAAGAAGATCACTGGACTCGAAATATTAATTCTGTTTCTCTCTGCACAAATGCTGCCAGACCTGCTGAGTTTCTCCAGCAATTTTTACTTTTGTTTCAGGGATAGGGCAGAGTAAATTAGGAAGGGGATCGTGTTGACATACCCAGAAGCTATCGGTGCCAAGCAACTCGAGTTTCAATTCCTGCACATTTTGCGCAATGTGAAGCCGAAAGCGGGTTATATTCGCGCAAACCACGGCATGAGGTGAAGAAACACCGGGAATAAGACAGAAATAACCAGCTCAGAGCCTCCCCGGGAGCCCCCCCGACTCTCTACTGGAGCTGCAGAAATAATCAGAACAGGACACCGACTCGTCTTGCACTTACACAAACACTGACTTTTACAAAAGCTTCCTTTTGCTGGCTGTGCGGTTGCAAAGCAGTCGGCGGCCGTTTCGAACGCGGTTCCGTTTGAAAGCTCGCGGCCGACGCCCTGGCGGTTGCCGCGGAAACGGGCGCCACCATTTTTTGGAGTCCCGCAGGCGGCAGAGGTCCCAGAGAAAAATAACTCGCTCTGTCTGTTCCGCCCTTTAACTCGTGTCAAAGCTGCAAGCAGAGCAGCAGGAGACTGTAAGGGCCAGTACGGTAGAAACCTGAATATTAACGGTGCAAGGCATTATTCAAATTATATCTATGATAATGAGCAACGAATTAATTTCATCTTTTGCTGGTCAGGTAAAGTCTCCACAGTCTTACCTAAGACAACAAGGTGCAGGGCTGGATGAACACAGCAGGCCAAGCAGCATCATAGGAGCAGAGAGGCTGACGTTTCGGGCCGAGACCCTTCATCAGAAAAGGGGGAGGGGAAGGGGGTTTTGAAATAAATAGGGAGAGAGTGGGAGGCGGATAGAAGAGGGATAGAGGAGAGGAAACAAACAGGTCGAAGAGGCGGGGATGGAGCCAGTAAAGGTGAGTGTAGGTAGGGAGTTAGGAAGGGGATAGGTCAGTTCAGGGAGGACGGACAGGTCAAGGGGGCGGGATGAGGTTGGTCGGTAGGAGATGGAGGTGCGGCTTGAGGTGGGAGGAAGAACAGGTTAGGGAGGCAGGGAC